AGCTCCGGGATCGGGGAGCGCGGGGCAGGCGCCGGTTCTGCCTCCCCTGAGCGAAATGGGGGGACAGGCGGGGGCTGCCCAGGGGCAGCGGCTCAGCCGGGCACCCCCTGGTCTGTCAGGGCTCTCCTGCTCCCGTTACGGAGCCGCAGGTGAATCCGAGACGGCCTTGGTGATGCTCGGAGCCGGAGCACCCAAGTGCCAGCAGACGGTGACAGGGACCCTGCAACCCGCTCGTGGTCCTGGGGAAAAGGGAGCCCAGGCTCCAGCTGTTCCCGTGTGCCAGGGGTGAGCTGGGTGCTTCGGTACCGAGGCTCAGCGTGAGCCCGGCTCATCTCACCAGCTTGACACACCTGCTGTTAATGCGGACCTAACATGCTAGGAATGCTGTGAGACAACGGGCCTGCGTGGGGACTCCTCCTTGGAAAAGGCTTGGGATGGATGGATCYTGGTGCCGTTAGTGGCTCCTGGCACAGGAGTGAGCGGGTGACGGGTCCCTCCCTGGCCCGTGTGGCACCCTTGCCCATCACCCGAGATGTGACAAGGAGCTGAACCCCAACCGAGCTCTGTCTGGGGACAAGCGGGCACCGGGCGAGTCTGTAAAGAGCAATTCTGTAAAGAGCAATTCTGTAAAGAGCAATCGCAACTGAAACAAACAAATAAATAAATCAGGATAGCTATATAGATATGATTTTTTTAAAAAAAATGAGAAACAGAGGCTGTTTTAACCACTGTTCGGATCGATAATTGTCCTTTATTAAGCCAAGCTCCTTGCAGGCAGCGAGGGATCTCGCGATGCTGCTGAGGACCGGTAAAGCCTAGCTCCGTCCTTGCTCCTGGCGGCGCGGATGCCAGCGGGACCTGGGAGGGAGCAGCAGCAAAGGGAAGCTCCGGGGGCATAAATTAGGCGGGCACGGGCTTCTCGCAGATGTAGTAGCACTCGTAGCTGCAGTAGACATCGTTCCACTGGCCGAGGCCCCAGAGGTGGGCGCAGTCCTCGTTGCTGCTGTCGTTGGGCTCCCCTTCCTTCCAGAACCTGCAGGGAAAGGGGGACACGGGCAATGGGGGTGGCATTCCGGGGGGCTGGCCCCGTGGCATTAGTTTSCTTGCCGTGCTAGGTAAAATAATGCAATTTTAGATGGCTTTGGGTGCTGGTTTGTGCTGCTGGTGCCATGGTAGACCTGGCCCAAGCTGCTCCTCTTGCAGGGCAACCCAGGCCTGGGAGTTGCTGGGGAAGCACACGGGAATGGATGGATGGATGGATGCATGGATGAACGGATAGATCCAAATTCCCAGGACTGGGCACTCACGTGAATGTGCTTTTGTAGTCGGTGCCGTCGATCCATTCCCACTCCCCTTCGGAGTTCTCATCCGTGAGCCCGATCCAGAAGCGCTCGTTCCTCGTCCTGAACATGACAAAGCTCTGCGGCGGGGACACGGGTCAGCGGCAGCGCCCGGCTCCGTGTGCGGGACACGGGGCAGCACCAGCGCCGTGCAGAGCATCCCGAACGGGATAGGGATGCAGGCCACGTGTGCAACGAGTTGTGCCTGCTCTCTGCTGGCTGGTGCCCAGGATGGCAGCAGGTTCTGGGCGTCGGGAGAGCCGGGCACGGGGATCCAAACCCTTCCTTACCTGCTTGGCRTAGCTGTCGATGATGGCCAGGTGCGAGTGCATCTCCTCACACGCGGCCTTCGCCTTGTGCCAGGTCGTCCTTCCCAGGGAGAAGTAGTAGCACTTCTTGTCGAAGTATTCCCACTCTCGGGATCCGGGACCACAGGGAAACACTGGCRAAAGGGAGCAGGGAAAGACCTCAGAGACAGATGAACATAGCAGGGATGAMGCCAGGATCCCTCGTGCCGGATTGCAAGGCCATGGAAATCGGAGGAGATGATTGCTCTAAATGCTAGGAGAGCTCCTGGCCGTGATGCCTGCAGGGTGGTGCATCCAGAGGGGATGAGCACCACGCACAGCCCTTGGCAAAGGAAATGCCGAGTGGGAAAACTGCATGGACAATGGATGGAGAATCTGCATGGGCAAAGCATGGAGAATCTGCATGGRCAACGGATGGAGAATCTGCATCGACAACCTATGGAATATCTGCATGGACATCCAATGGAGAATCTGCATGGACAACGGATGGAGAATCTGCATGGACAACGGATGGAGAATCTGCATGGAGAACCGATGGAGAATCTGCATGGACAATGGATGGAGAATCTGCATGGACAACCAATGCAATATCTGCATGGACAACAGATGGAGAATCTGCATGGACAATGGATGGAGAATCTGCATGGAAAACAGATAGAGAATTTGCATGGACATTCAATGGAAAATCTGCATGGACAATGGATGGAGATTCTGCATGGACAACCAATGGAGAATCTGCATGGACAACGGATGGAGATTCTGCATGGACAACCAATGGAGAATCTGCATGGACAACGGATGGAGATTCTGCATGGACAACCAATGGAGAATCTGCATGGGCAACGGATGGAGAATCTGCATGGAGAACCGATGGAGAATCTGCATGGACAATGGATGGAGAATCTGCATGGACAATGGATGGAGAATCTGCATGGAGAGCCAATGGAGAATCTGCATGGAAAACCATGGTGGAAAGGGGGGAATCTCGGGAGAAGCAGGAGCTCTCTGCAAGCCGGGGTAGCGCTGAGCACTTACACAGGTAATCCGTGCTGGAATAATTTGTTTTCTGCTCCAGGTGCACCTTGTGGAGTTGAGAAGAAACGGCTGACACTGCGAGGAGAAAGACGCCGCGTTATGGGCGTTATGGGGTGTAGCCCATGTGCCACCCATGCACTGAGCGCAGGGAAATGTCCTGCTCCAGCTCATCCAGCCTGCTGGGGACACCCCTTTCCAGCCAAGGAATCCCGGGACACRGTGCCTGGCTTGGAGCAGGGGGAGAAGACGGCAGCGCGGAGCTCAACCCGCCACCGACCGGTCTTTATTGCTCCCCKGGGGGAGTTCTGCCCCATTTGGACCATTGCAAGACCCCACAGGGATGCACCTCTTGGTCCTAGCAGCCTAATTAATTAGCGCAAGAGAAGCACCCCTTAATGCTGCCCCGGTACCTTTGGAGATGGACACAGCAAAGAGGACGGTGATGAGCAGGAAGGAGAGCGCCAGCAGCAGGTACACGGTGAAGAAGGAGCGCAGCTTCAGCTGGAAGAAGCTTCTGTCTTTTGGAACGAACACAGAAACGGATGTGAAAATATTCCCTGCAATAGCCGGACTCGTTGGAGTTTCCCGTCTCCTCCGATTCCGACTATAGGGGGGTTAATAAATAACCCGCAGTGGCTCCTTGTTTGCTATAGACACCGAGAACTTAATCGTAGTGCTCCAAAGCACCTGCAGCAAGGGGGACTATCGGAGATTGCACCGGGATGTGGCCCTGCTACAGGGCAAGGCAAGTGGTCTACACAAACCAAGCAAAAAGCCCAAGATTCCCCCAAAGAAACTGCAAATTTACACCCTATATTTGGAAATATAACGTGTTTCTGAGTGTCGCTGTCTATGAACATCTTTGGAAGGAAGGACCTTTCTCTGTCCCGAGCTGATGTCGGGTGTTTTCAGCAGGGTTGGACCTTGGATCTACCCTTGGATCCAAGCAAGGACACTGAGCCACTCAATTTGGGTCATTTTGGGTCGAAGAGAGAGAATTCCCTCTCAGCTGGGTCAAAATTCAGCTCAGTTTGGGTCAAAAAAGAGAGAATTCCCTCTCAAGTGGGTCCAAATTCAACTCAGTTTGGGTTAAAAAAGAGAGAATTCCCTCTCAGCTGGATCAAAATTCAGCTCAGTTTGGGTCAAAAAAGAGAGAATTCCCTCTCAGTTGGGTCCAAATTCAACTCAGTTTGGATTAAAAAAGAAAGAATTCCC